AAACCCTCCTCTATGACCCCCTCCTCTATGACAACCTTCCTCTATGACACCTTCCTCTATGAAACCAACCTCTATGTCACTCCTTCTGTATGACACCCTTCCCCTATAACAACCCTGCTCTATGACATCCTCCAATATGACACCTCTTCTTTATGATACCCTCCTCTATAACACTCCTCTATGATAACCTCCTCTATAACAACCCTGCTCTAAGACACTCCTACTCTATAACACCGTCCTCTATGACACCCTCTTCTATGATATTCCCCTCTATGATCCTCTATGACACCCTCTTCTATGATATTCCCATGACACCCTCCTCTATACCCTGCTCCATGACACCCTACTCTATGACATCCTCCTCTATGACACCCTACTCTATGACACTCCTCCATTATGACACCTCTCCTCTATGACACCCTCCTCTATGACACTCCTCTATAACACCCTCCTCGATAAGAAACCTGCTCTATGACATCCTCCCGTATGACACTCCCCCTCTATGACACCCTCCTGTATAACTTGCCTGCTCTATGACACCAACCTCTATGACACCCTCCTCTATGACACCCTTGCCCTCTAACAACTTTGCTCTATGACAGGCTCCTCCATGACACCTTCTGCTACGAAACCCTCCTCTATGACACCCTCCTCTATGACACTCTATGATAACCTCTATAACAACCCTGCTCTATGACATCCTCCACTATGACACCTCTATGACCCCCTCCTCTATGACACTCTATGATAACCTCTATAACAACCCTGCTCTATGACATCCTCCACTATGACACCTCTATGACCCCCTCCTCTATGACACTCTATGATAACCTCTATAACAACCCTGCTCTATGACATCCTCCACTATGACACCTCTATGACCCCCTCCTCTATGACACTCTATGATAACCTCTATAACAACCCTGCTCTATGACATCCTCCACTATGACACCTCTATGACACCCTCCTCTATGACACCCTACTCTATGACACTCCTCCATTATGACACCTCTCCTCTATGACACCCTCCTCTGACACTGATAACCTCTATAACAACCCTGCTGTATTACACTCTATGACACCGTCCTATGACAACCTCTATGACACTCTCCTCTATGACACCTCTCTTCTGTGACACTCTATGAAACCCTCCTTTTGACACCCTCCTCTATGATATTCCCCTCTATGACACCCTCCTCTATAACTACCGCACACTTTGACACCCTCCTCTATGACACCCTTCTATATGAAAACCCTCCCCTATAATGACCCTGCTCTATGACACCCTCCTCTATGACACCCTTCCTGTATGACAACCCTGCTCTATGACAGGCTCCTCCATGACACCCTCCCCTATGGCACCCTCCTCTATGACACTCCTCTATAACACCCTCCTCTATAAATACCCTGCTCCATGACACGCTACTCTATGACACCCTTCCTCTATGACACCCTCCTCTATGACACCCTCTATGACACCCTACCCTATGACACCCTCCTCAATGACACCCTCCTCTATGACACTTATCCTCTATGACACCATCCTCTATGACACTCCTTCTCTATGAAACCCTTCCTCTATAACAACCCTGCTCTATGACATCCTCCACTATGACACCTCTATGACACCCTCCTCTATGACACTCTATGATAACCTCTATAACAACCCTGCTCTATGAAACTCCTCCTGTATGACACCATCCTCTATGATTCCCTCCTCTATGACACTCCTCCTCTATTACTGTGGGAAACAGTTTATTGCCTTCACTATCTGATAAGCATAGATAGAGAACTCCTCAAAGGCTGGGTGCCTTTGAAGCCCTAGCAAAGGTTGGAGCTAGGCGCCATGTCAGTTTGTCCAGACAGTGGTAGCTGAAACTACTCCCCCATTTATTATTATGTAAATCCTTGCTGATGGGCGAGTCTGCCTATTGCCAGGGTCGCCTGCCTAAGGGCTATGCTATGGGTGTATCCCAGAATCAATAAAGGCTTGGTGAGGCCTGAGCACCAGTGGAAGTCCTTCCCCTTGAGTTGGACTTACTTGCCTGGTCCCCCAATATTTCGTTATCTCTTGGCTTTTCATATTCATTTGTGTGCACAGGAGGAAGTCCTTCCCCTTGAGTTGGACTTACTTGCCTGGTCCCCCAATATTTCGTTATCTCTTGGCTTTTCATATTCATTTGTGTGGGGCTCTGCTTCCAGTTCCTGAACCCTGACCGATGCGGGATGTGGGAAGGAAACAACATATTAAACCCTTCCTCTATAACAAAACTGCTTTATGACACACTCCTCTATGACACCCTCCTCTATGACACTCCTCTTCTTTGACACCCTCCTCTATAACAACCCTGCTTAATGACATCCTCCTCTATGATACCCTCCTCTATGACACCCTCCTCTATGAAACCCTCCTATATGACACCCTCTTCTATGATATCCCCCTCTATGACACCCTCCTCTATAAATACCCTGCTCCATGACACCCTCCTCTATGACACCTTACTCTATGACACCCTCTTCTATGACACCATCCTCTATGACACTCCTTCTCTATGAAACCCTTCCCCTATAACAACCCTGCTCTGTGACATCCTCCACTATGATATCACTATGACACCCTCCTCTATGACACTCTATGATAACCTCTATAACAACCCTGCTCTATGACACTCCTCCTCTATGACACCATCCTATATGACAACCTTCTCTGACACCCTCCTCTATGACACTCCTCTTCTATGACACCCTCCTCTGAAACCATCCTTTATGACACCCTCCTCTATGATATTCCCCTCTATGACACCCTCCTCTATAACTACCGCACACTTTGACACCCTTCTCTATGACACGCTTCTGTATGAAAACCCTGCTCTATGACAGGCTCCTCCATGACACCCTCCCCTATGACACCCTCCTCTATGACACTTCTCTATAACACCCTCCTCTGTAACAAACTTGCTCTATGCCATCCTCCTGTATGACACTCTCCACTCTAATATCCTCTATGACACCCTTTATAACAACCCTCCTCTATGACACCCTCCTCTGTGACATTCCTCCTCTATGACACTTTGCTCTATAACAACCCTGCTCTATGACAGCCTTCTCTATGACACCATCCTCTAGGACACTCCCAATCTATGACACCCTCCTCTAACTACCCTGCTCTATGACACCAACCTCTCTGACACCCGTCTCTATGACACCCTTCCCCTATAACAACCCTGCTCTATGACACCCTCCTTTATGACACCCTCCTCTATGACACCCTCCCTGTATAATAACCCTGCTCTATGACAGGCTCCTCCAGGACACAGTTCTCTATGACACTCCTCCTCTATGAAACCCTGCTCTATGACACCGTCTCTATGACACCATCCTCTGTGACACGCCTCCTCTATGACACACTCCTCTATAACAACCCTGCTTTATGACACCCTTCTCTATGACACCCGCTTATATGATACTCCTCTATGATACCCTTCCATTATAACAACCTTGCTCTATGAAATCCTCTATGACACCCATGTATGATACTGTCCTCTATGACATTTTTCCTCTCTGACACTCTCCTCTATAACAACTCTGCTCTGACATCCTCCTCTATGACACCATCCTCTAACTACCCTGCTTTATGCCACCACCTCTTTGACACCCTGCCTCTGACACCCTTCCTCTAAAACTACCCTGTTCTATGACAGCCTCCTCTATGACACCCTCCTCTATGAAACCCTTTATGACACCCTCCTGTATGACACTCCCCCTCTATGACACCCTCCTGTATAACTCCCCTGCTCTATGACACCAACTCTATGACACCCTTGCCCTATAACAACCCTGCTCTATAACAGGCTCCTCCATGACACCTTCCTCTACGAAACCCTCCTCTATGACACCCTCCTCCATGACACCTTCCTCTACGAATCCCTCCTCTATGACATCTCTTCTATGACACCCTCCACTCTGACACTTCCTCTATTACACCCACCTCTAAGACAACCTCCTCTCACACCCTCATTTATGACACCCTTCTGCTATGACACCCTCCTGCATGATACACTTCCTCTATGATACCCTCCTCTATGAAATTCCTGTATGACATTCTCTGCTATTACACCCTTCTCTATGAAACCATCCTCTATGTCACATTCCTCTCTGACACTCCTCTATGACACCCTCCTCTATGACACTACTCTACTAAGACACCTTTCCCCTATAACAACCCTGCTCTATGACATCCTTATCTATGACACCTCTCCTCTTTCGCAGCCTCCTGTAAGACATTGCGCCTCTATGACACCTTCCTCTATAACAACGCTGCTCTATAACACCCTCCTCTATGATACCGTCCTCTATGACACTCCATGATAACCTATATAACAACCCTACTCTATGACACTCCTACTCTATGACACCGTCCTCTATGACAACCTCTATGACACCCTCCTCTATGACACCCCTATTCTATGACACCCTCCTCTATGAAACCTTCCTATATGACACCCTCTTCTATGATATTCCCCTCTATGACACCCTCCTCTATAAATACCCTGCTCCATTACACCCTATTCTATGATACCCTTCCTCTATGACACCCTCCTCTATGACACCCTCCTCTATGACACCCTATTCTATAACACCCTCCTCAATGACACCCTCCTCTATGACACTCCTCCTCTATGACATCCTCCTGTATGACAATCTTCTCTATGACACCATCCTCTGACACTCCTCTATGACACCCTACTGTATAACAACCCTGCTCTATGACATACTCCTTAATGACACCCTCCTCCATTACACCTTCCTCAATGGCAGTCCTCTACGACACCCTCCTCTCTGATGCTCTCCTCTATGACACTACTCTTCTCTGACACCCTTCCTCTATAACAACCCTGCTCTGACACTCTCCTCTATGACACCCTCCTTTATGACTACTTCCTCTATGACACCATCCTCTATGAGACCCTCCTCTCACACCTTCCTCTATGACACCCTCCTGTATGATACCCTTTCTCTATGATACCCACCTCTATGACACTCCTCTATGACATTCTCCACTATGACACCCTCCTCACTGATACCCACCTCTGTGACACCCTTCTCTATGACACCCTTCTCTTTGACTCCCACCTTTCACTCCCTCCTCTATGACTCCTCTATGACACCCTCCTCTATGACAACCTTCCTCTATAACAAACCTTTTCTATGACACACTACTCTGACACACTCCTCTATGACACCGTCCTGTATGACACACCTCCTCTATGACAACCTCCTCTATAACAACCCTGCTCTATGACACCCTCTTCTATTACACCCTCCTCTATGACACCCTCTTCTATGACGTCTTCTATGACACTCCTCTATGACACCCTCCTAACAACTCTATGACATCCTCCTCTGACACACTCCTCTATGAAACCCTTCCTCTATGACACCCTCCTTTGTGATACCCTCTCCTATGACACCCTCCTCTATGACACCCTCCTTTATGACACCCTTCCTCTATGGCAACATCCTCTATGACTCCTTTATGACACTCCTGTATAACATTCATCCTCTATAACGTGTTCTATGACACCCTCCTCTGACACTCCTCCTCTATGATAGCCTTCCTCTATAACAACCCTTCTCTATGACAGACTCCTCTATGACACCGTCCTCTATGACTCCCTCCTTTATGACACTCCTGTATAACATTCATCCTCTATAACGTGTTCTATGACACCCTCCTCTGACACTCCTCCTCTATGATAGCCTTCCTCTATAACAACCCTTCTCTATGACAGCCTCCTCTATGACACCATCCTCTATGACACCCTCCTTTATGACACCCTCCTCTCTAACAACCCTATGACATCCTCCTCTAAGACACCCGCCTCTATGACACTCCTCCATTACACCCTGCTCTATGACACCCTCCTCTGACACCCTCCTTTATGACACTTCTCTATGACACCCTTCTTCTATAACAACCCTCTTCTATGACATCCTCCCCTATATCTCCCTCCTCTATGACACCGTCCTTTTGATAATCCTCCTCTATGACAACCTCCTGTATAACAACCCTGCTCTATTATCTCCTCCTCGACACCCCCCTCTTTGACTCCCTCCTCTATGAGTCTCTCCTCTGACTCCCTCCTCTATGACACCCTCCTTTATGACACTCCTCCTCCATGTCACCATTCCGCTTTAACAACCCTTTTCTATGACACCCTCCTTAGGACACCTCTCCCTCCTGTATGACACCCTCCTCTGACACCGCTCCTCTATAACACCCTCCTCTATGACACCCTTCCTCTATAACAAACCCTCTCTATGACACATTCCTCTATGACACCTTCCTTCCCCTTCTTCTATAACAACCCTCTTCTATGACATCCTCCCCTATATCTCCCTCCTCTATGACACCATCCTTTTGATACTCCTCCTCTATGACAACCTTCTGTATAACAACCCTGCTCTATTATCTCCTCCTCGACACCCCCCTCTTTGACTCCCTCCTCTATGAGTCTCTCCTCTGACTCCCTCCTCTATGACACCCTCCTTTATGACACTCCTCCTCCATGTCACCATTCCGCTTTAACAACCCTTTTCTATGACACCCTCCTTAGGACACCTCTCCTCTATGACACCATCCACTAATACAACCTTGGCC